TTCATGCAAATTCTTCTGCTAGTTGGGGTTTAGTCCACTTCTATATCCTTCCCTTCAAGGCTCAGGGGTCCAGGATTATCTTCTGTGTCTGTGTTGATTGGTTTCCCTTTTCTTTGTTGAAGAGGGTCTGTGCAGTCTTTCTGCTTAGTTCGCCATCTTGCCAGAACTCTCTCTCTCTTTTTTTTTTTAAATGGGAAAAATATTTTATGATGCAGGGAACATCAAAAGAAGATGGAAATAATGCAGAGTCACTGTACTAAAAAGAATTGGTCAATGGTCATCCATTTTAGGAGGTGGCATATGATCAAGAACCAATGGTACTAAAGAAGTCAAAGCTGCACTGAATGAATTGGTGAAGCACAAGGCTCCAAGAATTGATGGAATACCCATTGAGATGTTTCAACAAACGGATGCCACATTGGAGGCACTCATTCATCTATGCCAAGAAATTTAGAAAATAGCTACCTGACCAACTGACTGGAAAAGATCCATATTTGTATGCATTCTAAAGAAAAGTGATAGCACAGAATGTGGAAATTATTGAACAATATCATTAATATCACATATAACTAAAATCTTGCTGAAGGTCATTTAAAAAAAACAGTTGCAGCAGTATATTAACAAGGGAACTTCCAGAAATGCAAGCTGGATTCAGAAGAAGATGTGCTATGAGAGATATCATTGCTGATGTCAGATGGATCTTGGCTCAAAGCAAAGAATAACAGAAAGATATTTACTTTTGTTTTATTGACTATGCAGAAGCATTTGATGTTGTGGATCATAAAGAATTATGAATAACATTGAGAAGAATAAGAATTCCAGAACACTTAATTGTGTTCATGAGGAACCTGTACATAGACCAGGAGGTTGTTGTTTGAACAGAACAGGGGATGATACTGCATGGCTTAAAATCAGGAAGGGAGGGTGTCAGGGTTGTAACTTTTCACCATACTTACTCAATCTGTATGCTGAGCAAATAATCTGAGTAGCTGGACTATATGAAGAAGAATGTGGCATCAGGATTGGATGCTGGATTAACAACCTACAATATGCAGATGACACAATCTTGCTTGCTGAAAGCGAAAATTACTGGAAGCACTTACTGATGAAGAGTAAAAGCTACAGTCTGCAGTATTGATTACACCTCAATATAAAGAAAATGAAAATCCTCACAACTGGAGCAATAAGCAGCATCATGATAAATGGAGAAAAAATTGAAATTGTCAAATATTTCATATTATTTGTCTCCACAATCAACACCAATGGAAGCAGCAGTCAAGAAATCAGACATCGTATTGCACTTGGCAAATTTGCTACAAAAGATCTCTTTAAATTGCTGAAAATCAAAGATGTCTCTTTGAGGACTAAGGTGCACCTAACGCAAGCCATGGTGTTTTCAGTCGCCTGATGTACATGTGAAAGCTGGACAATGAATAAGGAAGACTGAAGAAGAGTTGATGTTTTTGAGTTGTGGTGTTGTCAAAGAATACTGAAAGTACCATGGACTGCCAGAAGAACTAACAGATCTGTCCTGAAAGAAGTACAGCCAGAATGAATGTTCCTTGGAAATGAACTTTGTCTCACCTATTTTGGTCATGTTGACAGAAAGGACCATTGCCTGGAGAAGGATGACATGCTTGGTAAAGTGAAGGGTCAGCAAAAAAGGGGAAGGCCCTCAACAAGATGGATTGACACAGTGGCTGTAACAATGAGCTCAGGTATAGCAAGGATGTGAGTCTGGAGCAGGACTGGGAAATATTTTGTTCTGTTGTACACAGGGTTGCTATGAGTCAGAGCCTAGGATGGATGGCTAGGTTCCTCGATGGAACCTAACAACAACAACAACATTTGCACTATGGCTTTTTTGTTTCCTAATTGCTTATTAGAAGTTATTAATGAATGTAAATTGAAAAACTGAAGGATATTAGTTTCATATTTTTAAAATTTCCATCTAAATTTGAAAATTATTCCTTCCAAAGATATTTTCTAGTAACAGAGCTTCATTTTAAGTCAAAGGAAGCTTTGTACATTCACCGTACACTAATTGGAACATTAAATTATCCTCCAATCCATGAAGATGTAGGTGGAAGGGATGCTGGACAGTGATGGGAAAAGTGCCTAAAGGTAATTTGATTTTTGTAGGGAAAAAAAAAAAAAAATGAAGAACTATTGATGACATTGCGTTTTGGTGAATATAACCTCAGTTTTCCCAATACAACTTTTCTTTAGCTTTTATTTAACAAATATAAGTGATTTTTGAGAAATTTCAAAAAAAAATATTTATATGTGTAAGAATACATCTATTCCTGATTATTTTTTTCTTTTCTTTTCACCTTGTGAGTAGGTCACGGATAATAGCTCAATATTTTCTTTTGTTGCAAGGTAATTTAGTGTTGTTTAAACATAATTGTGGCCATCTTATTGCTTTATTCCTAGAACTGTCATGTAAAAAAAAAAATCCTACATGGTAAATTAAAATCATCATGAGTGGATGAGCATTTGTGGGTGTTCAGGAGATAATGAGTTGATGCTCACGTCTATTATTGAGTAACACGTGCTTTGTAAAGTAAGGAAGTTTTCATGCGTGTGACTTAGAATGCATATCTTAGACATGAGCTTGGCATTTGTAGAATAAACTAAAGAGGAAAGGTAATACTGGAATAATAGAGGACAACAAACATTAAGTTTTGCGATTTCATTTTTACCTGGGTGTAATGGCCAGTTTTAGCATTTCCTTGAGTGTCTCCAAATCCGTATTTAAAATTTTTGTGTTCATTGTATAAACTTTGGATTACATTAGACCATGACATGGGTTGAGTGGACTTGAACAAATTCTCTCCACAACCAGCAACTAAAAATTAGAAATGACAACAAACCGATAATTAAGGCAATACTTGTGAAAAATTCTCACTGAAATCTATTAAAATACTATATTTTTTTTTCTGTGATCAATATCAACTCCCAAACATGCACAGTCATCTCACACGGACTGAACAATGGGAGAAATCCAACTTAAATTTCAAAAGCTTCGCTCTTTGAATCGAAACCACTCTTTTTTCCCACCTATGAATATTGTTGCTGTTGATAGTTGCCATTGAATTGATTCCAACTTATGGAGGTCTCATATGTGCATGAGTAGAACTGTTCCATAGGATTTTGAAAGCTGACACCTTTCAGAAACAAATTGCCAGGTGTTACTTCTGAGGCACCTCTAGCTGAATCTGAACTGCCAACCTTTCAGCTAAGTAGTTCTAGTACATAACCACCCAAGGCCTCCTCAATTATGAAGAGTTCTTTTTAAAATGTAAATAATGGTTCATTTTTATACTGATCATGTAACTTAACACAGCTACGTATCATTTTGGTTACACTGGTAAACTGATTAAGATTCACTCAATCAGCAAGTATTTAATATCTGCTATTCCTTCATTTACATTCATGGTGAAGAATAGGAAATACTGTGGGCTTCCAGAAAAATGAATAAATTTGTCCTGGAAGAAGGGCAGCTGGAACACTTCTTGGAAGCAAGAATGACCAGACTTCTTGTCACCTACATTGGTCATGTTGTCAGAAAAGACCATTCCTTGGAGAAGGATATCATGCTAGGTAAAGTGGTGGGTCAGCAAAAAAGGGGAAGACCCTCAATGAAATGGACTAACACAGTGGCTGGAATGATGGGATCAGGTATAGCAAGAATTATGAGGCTGGTGCAATACCAAGCAGTGTTTCTGTTGTACATAGGGTCTCTATGACTCAGAGCTGACTCGAAGGCACCAAACAACAATAATATGCCTTCATATTCATAAGATTTCTCGTGGCCATTTTTTTTTTTGTCAGAAATGGACCACCACGTCCTTCTTCCTAGTCTGTCTTAGTCTGGAAGTTTCACTGAATCTATCCACCATGAGTGACCCTGCTGGTATTGGAAATAACAGTGGCATAGCTTCCATCACAGTATGACAAACTGACAGCAACCATTGTGAGGATGGTGCAGGAATGGGCAGTGTTTCAATCTGTTATACATAGGGTTGCTGTGAGTTGGAACCGACCTGTCAGCACCTAACAACAACAAACAACATGCCTTCATAGGTAGGAGCCCTAGTTGTGCAGTGGTTAAAGCACTTGGCTGAGAATGAAAAGGTTGGGAGTCCGAACCCATCAGCCTCTCTAGAGGAGAAAGATGTCGTAGTCTGCTTCTATAAAGATTTACAGCCTTGGAAACCCTATGGGGCAGTTCTACTCTGCCCTACAGGGTTGCAATCAGTTGGAATTGACTCAGCAACAGGTTTAATTTAAGCCTTCATTGTGTATATGTGGAGGATAATAAAGTAATTATAGACTTGACTTTTGACCTTTGATTCCTCATCTGGGGACCTAAAATGAGCACATATGAAATAGATGGCAAAATGATGCAATAAAAAGTAATTTGTGGGAAAACGATGAAAGCAAAGTTGTGGGTCAAAAGTGACAATGCCATGTCGGTGGTAACAAGGAGGTTGATTGGATTTTAGTGAAAAGTCTAAGGCAGAGGAGAGCAGAACAGACATGTAGAGTGGAGCAGACAGAGGATCTTGGGAGGCTGATAGACATGACTTACCTTTAATACTCTTTTCCCCTATGATGTGAAAAATTGTACTAAAAGAAAAAAAATGATTATTTTTATCAGCAGTTCATGGTTTTGTTTGGTCACTGTGTGTTAGGTAAGTGGAGGCTCCTCTAGATTTTTCAGAGTAAAGTGTCACGTGGCTAAGCAAGGACGATGAGTATTAAAATGGATTTAAATTCAGAAAAAGACTTAAAGTGATTCTTTTTGTTTTTCTTCAAAAGTATTTCCAAAGATGCCTTTGACCAGTAACTCAGCCTCATTCTACACTTCTGACTTGGAGCAGAGGGAGTTATAAGGTATTAGGAAAAGAGATTAAAAAAAAAGAAAAGAAATGAAAACAGGTATGTGTGTAAGGGGATAGGTGATAAAGTTAAAACCAACATGTAAAAAACAAGATCACCATTCCCAAGCTTGCATATATCTCTATTTCAATAACTTTTAGTTTGCTTTTGACTTTCATAAAATTATATATTTATGCACTAGAGATGTTGACTTACAACGAATTTTTCGCTGATTTGGATGACTGTGAGACAGGGTGCATTTCTTTGCCCAATTTTCAGCATTCTTTGCAACTTCTGCATTCCAATTCTTGAAATAAATGCCATACATTTGGGAAAAAAATAGCTTTCATGAGATAATAATAAAGTATATTATTACATTGAAAACAAATGTCTAATCAATTTGATAAATTATTTTATAACATTTTTCAATTTTCCATTGAACTATCAAAAGACACATTTCTTGCTTTCCTAAATGGTCTATCACCAGGAAGGCTCTTTCTCCATGGAACCACGGAATAAAATATTTTAAGAAAAATAATAGCCATCCAAACTCCCAAGACATGTTTTTCCAGCTTCCAGGTGATTAAAAAAAAAAAAAAAAACATTTTTTTTTTTCCAATAGTAGTTTTGGGCTATGACTATTTAATTAGGACTGAGAACTCAAGAATTTGCTTTTTCTCCCCCTCATAGAGGTTTTTATATTTCTAGCAGTCTTCATAGACTAATATATTCTCAGAAGTTGTATTAAACATTAGTAAATTTGTATTGTTCTAAATGATGTATAATTGTTGTACCCAGGCTGTAAAGGAGAATTTCGGAAGAGAAGAAGACACCAACCCACGCCAATGCAAATGCAATAGGACAGTTTATTAGCTAACTTAAGTCAGGGTCTTTGCCCTT